TGTCATCACTACCTGGGGTGTTGGACAAGAGGTGCAAGAGAAGCCCCCTCTCCAGCTCACCAAGGTACTGGCAGAACCAGTAAGAGCAGTAGTATACCCAAGGATCGACATGTCCAGAAGTGTTATTTCCCTGCATACTTCAGCAAAACATATCTGAGGATCAGGGTGTTGAGCATGCAAATCATTCCTTTTTCCCTAGAGACAATTTGACATCTAAAAATGCTAAATATCCTAAAACAAAAGAAAAAAACCTTTTTTTTTTTTTTTTTTTTCATTTTTGATGGATAGATAGAAATGTGGATACCTTCTGTATTAAGAAGGCTCTTATGTGCTTAATATTGTTTATGGGGGGGGGGGGGGGAGCAGAGCAGAGAGCTGTTCCTTTTAGCCCCCCACAACCTGTCTTGTTACACCATCTTTTCATTCCATAAGCCCGTCTTCATACAAGCCATGGTGTTTATACACTGCACTGATGATGGCCAGCAGGCCTGAAACAGCTGTGTGCAGTCTGCAATAATTATGACTTTGTAACAGGCATGTCAAACTCAGAAGAAACAGTAGGCTGAATTGAGAGTATTAAATCTTCAAGGGGGCCATGTTTTGACTACTGTGGGCCACATTATGTCTACTGCACCCATTTAATTCCAGAAAAAGATTATGGCATTTTACGTAAAAGAAACAATTGTAACAAACAATATTTAAATCCAGAGAAAAGAGTCTAAAAAAAACATTTCCTGCAAAACTATGTAGGGAAATGTTGAAAAAGTTGGAGAGCATTTATGTTTTTTAAACCACCAAGGGCTACAGAGATGGAACGATAGGGGCATGAGACACCAGTTTGACATGCCTGTTCTATAATATTGGGCTGTATATCTACTATAAAACCAGTGGTTCTGGATGGACAGTTTGCCCCATAGGCAAATAAGGAATGATTGGCATGTTCCACCCACTATGCTAAAATTTGGAATAAATCCCTTTTTTGGGATCTATGATGGAAGTGTGATATGCAGCTAACCTGTTTTAAGTAAACTATACTGTGCTTTTGGTGCCCAGAGAGTTGGCTCATACAATTGTCAAGAGTCAGATATGTTTGAATGGATTTATACATACATAGACATTTTACTTCAGTTTAAAATAAATTTGAGTTTGGAACGTTGTATCATGGCCCTATGACAATCCAGACATAGAGGGCCCCATGGTTGCAGCTGAAACAGAAATGATACCACAAACTTAAAGTATTGGTGGGTCTGCTCAAATACTACATGCAACGTTCAATCTGAATGGCTGTTGATGTACACTGCACCCTCTAGAGACCCCCTTACCCAAAGAATGGCAGTGAGTAGCGCATTAGTGCAAATGTCACCCCACATCTTATGAGACTAGATGTCAGAGGCAGCACTGCCTTATGCCTAGTACATACGATCAGAAAAATCATAGGAAAAATACCACTTTTGAAGCGATTGTACGGTAAACTAGTACACAGTTAGTACACAGCGAGAGACAATCGCAACAGTTCATGCGGAATTACCCAAAAGGAACAAATACAAAAATGTTTCTCATACGATACGAGAATATATGATTTTCGTTTAATCAGTACAGTATTCCTCCCAAACAAATTGGGAGACCAAGACCACGCATGCTCAGAAATGAAAGAATACATTACAATACAATACATTATATAACTTCCGAAGTTGTATTCTGTCGTACGAGAATTTTCGTAACTTTAGTAACCTCTTCATTTTCAATAGGAGAATAGCATTTAAAAAAAAAGAATGATCATTCGTCTGATATTCTCATCATGTGTACTACCCTTTAGATCATAGGTGTCAAACTGGCGGCCCTCCAGCTGTTGCCAAACTACAAGTTCCATGAGGCATTGCAAGATTGACAGTTATAAGCATGACTCCTAAAGACAGAGGCATGATGGGACTCGTAATTTCACAACAGCTGGAGGGCCGCCAGTTTGACACCCCTGCTTTAGATGATCGCCCACTGCAGGTATTGTATAGAAACTACCAGGGTGTACAATTTATCTTTAAAGGGTTTGGGTTTGATTTTTTTTTTAAAAAAAGCTAAAAAACATTTTATACTTACCTGCTCTGTGTAATGGTTTTGCACAGAGCAGCCCCGATCCTCCTCTTCTGTGGCCCTCTGCTGCTCCATCCTGCCCCCCACTGAGTACCCACCAAAGCAAGCTGCTTGTTATGGGGCCACTCGTGTAGGCTCTCTCCAAAGTCCCACTCTGTGTGTCTATAAGACACACAAAGTGTGGCTCGTCCTCCTCAGTGGCTGTAACTGAGCCAATGAGGAGAGAGAGAGCCGAGAGAACCTCTGTTCTTGTGCACATCGCTGGATCGAGAACAGGCTCAGATAAATATGGGGGCTGGGAGGAGCTGCATACTGAAAGTTTTTTTACTTGCATGTACAGAATGTATGAAGGTAAAAAAACCTTCAGCCTTTAGAACCACTTTAAATGTACTCTTGCCAAGGGGTACTTCAGATTAGATGCCGACTCCAGGGAATGTTTGTTAAACAATGGTCTTTGTTATGAGGTGCACAGTTTTATAGAGTTCAGAAACACCGATTTACTGAACTCCAAAGTAACCGATTTACTGAGCTCCAAAGTAACCTAACTCTATTATGTACAGCAACCTTTGATTCTGACCATCTCTACCTCTGCAATTAGCTGACATTTTAAGAATAGACGTACTTAGGAAAAATAGTTTTTATTTTTATACAGGATTTACAGCGGGTAAAAAAAAAGTATATTGAACACGTCACCATTTTTCTTGATAAATATATTTCTAGTGCTATTGACTTGAAATCTTCACCACATTCCAGGTCTTTCTGAAGCTCTCCACAAGAAGTCCTTGGCTCTTGGTAAACTCTTCTGATAATTCGTTTCACTCCTCTGTCAGAAATATCTGTAACCAATGCCATCAGTATGTTTTGCAACAATAAGGTTGCGACGGTCTTGAGAGAGCTCTTTGCTTTTTACCCATCATGAGATGTTTCTTGTGTGACACCTTGGTAATGAGACACCTTTTAATAGGCCATCAGTAGAGACTGAACCAGCTGATATTAATTTGCTCTGACAAGGGGCAGGATTGCTTTCTAACTACTAATAGATTTTAGCCAATGTCTTGGCTTTTCATGCCCTTTTGCACCTCCCTTTCTTCATGTGTCCAATACTTTTTCCCTGTGTTATTCCATTTTATTACACATAACCGAATTTCTAAAGTTATTTGTTTTGATTTCTTTGTATGTATGGATTGCATGGATTGTTACCGTCATGTGGTGAAAATTTCATGTCAACAGCACCTTTATAAATATATTTACCTAGAAAAATGGTGACGTGTTCAATACTTACTTTACACGGGGGGGGGGGGGGGGGGGGGGGGGGGGGGGGGGGGGGGGGGTTCAATACATACTTTACTCGCTGTATATAGCACCAACAGTTTGCGCAGCTCTTTACAACATAAAGGGGGACAGTACAATTATAATACAGTTCAATACAGAAGGAATAAGAAGGCCCTGATTATGGAGCTTACAATCTAAAGGGAGTGGGACATAGCACAAAAGGCAATAGCTGCTTGAGATGATCTGATGGAGGTGGCTGAAGTAGTGGAGGTGGGGTAGGCTTCACTGAATAAATGAGTTTTCAAGGATTGCCTAAAGGAAAACAGGATAGAGGTTAACCAGACATACTGGGGTAGGGAGTTCAAGAGGACGGGAGAGGTTCTGGAGAGGTCCTGGAGGTGAGCATGGGAGGAGGCAACAAGGGAGCTAGAGATCAAGATGTCAGGGTGCCATTGGTGACCTCATGTCTGAAAATATTAGTCACCTGTCTGTCTGACAATAGCTATAGTACTTTTCCAAGTCACTGACCTAAGCAAATATACAGGAGTTCTGACTTCACTTTGACTTCATGATCTGCATTCCTATTACAGGTCAGTGGTTCAGCTACCATTTTCAGGAGGAACTCAGCAGGTCTACAAAGGTCCCTGAAACACACAATATCACATGCTTTGTAAATTGTTGTGATGGGATGCCATCCAGAGTGAATGGCACTTCAACACACCTTGCCAATTGACATGCCTTGTAGACCACTGCAAAACACACGTATGCTGCGGTACGCTGCCATAAATGCTACGTGTACTGTTTTTACGTTTTTTTGATGTGTTATGTAGCTTTTTTTAAATAAATGGGCAGCCTTAACACAGTGCACAATAATGTTCAGAATGGTTTGTTACTTGGCTACAGCAGATGGGAAAGTACATTGTGGAAGGTATTGTTTGCTGTATCTCTTTTTAGCCCATCTACTGGCAAGTCTTTCTTTCTCTAAATCTCCCTTATCCCTCTAGAGCAGCCTTTCTCAACCCCTTTATCCCAGAGGAACCCGTAAAATAACTTTCAGTGATAGGGGACCCCTTACTAAAACCAATTTATTCGGGGTCAATGGCAAAAATGCCTTTTACGATGAAGGCCAGTAGGGAGAATACAACCTCTGCAGTGGCGGTCACAATGCCACACATACAGGGAGCAAAAACGATCATTGGTGTCATGCTTCCAGCTCTGCCAAGGGGTATAATGGGGCCTACTATGCAAGCCCCATTAAACGGGAGGTCATTCAGCCACATCTTAGCAACTTCTTGGGGAACTGTAGAGTTCCACAGTACCCTGGTTGAGTACCCTGGTTGAGAATGGCACCATTGCTTTTACCTACCTGGCTCATTTAGGGGGAAAAAAATCTTCTTTAACATCCGATTGAGGTCTTTAACTACTTGCTGACTGCAGATAGCCGAATGATGGCTTCACTGCGGCCGGCCAGTTCTGGGAGGGCATTATATGACGTCCTCCCAGAACGCGCTCTCCTGCGCGCCCCCGGGGGCGCACACTTGGTGATCTCCGTGATTGCTGTGTCCTATGATGTGATCCCAATCACAGCGGCCTTTTACCACATAATCAGCCATGTCCAATGACACACTGATCACCGGGAAATGCAATTGCTGGTTATCGGCTGCACTTTCCTCACGCTGTCACAGCGTGAGGAAAGTATTGCCGAGAAACGGTAGTTGTCAGAGGATGTATCGGCACCGATCATCAGGGCACTGATGATCAGTGTCCTGATGATCGGTGCTCAGTAGTGCCACCCACCAGTGCCACCCACATGTGCCCATCAGTGCCACCCACCTGTGCCCATCAGTGTCCACCAGTGCCACCCACCAGTGCCAATCAGTGCGGCCCAGCAGTGCCACCCATCAGTGCCACCCAGCAGTGCCATCCGTCAGTGCCCATCAGTGCCAACTATCAGTGCCAGCTTATCAGTGCTGCCTATCCGTGCCACCTCATCAGTGCTGCTTATCCGTGCCACCTCATCAGTGCCGCCTATCAGTGCCCATCAGTGCCGCATATCAATGCCCATCAGCGCTGCCTATCAGTGCCCATCAGTGCTGCCTATCACTGCAGCCTCATCAATGCACATCAGTGAAGGAAAAAAATTACCTGTTTGCTAAATTTTATAATAGAAACGAAGAAAAACTTTTTTTTTTTAAATTTTTTTTTGCATTTTGTTGTTTATAGCGCAAAAAATAAAACACCCAGCGGTGAGTAAATACCACCAAAAGAAAGCTCTATTTATGTGAAAAAAATTATAAAAATTTCATATGGGTACAACGTTGCATGGCCGCGCAATTGTCATTCAAAATGCGACAGCACTGAAAGCTGAAAATTGGCCTAGGCAGGAAGGGGGTATAAAAATGGTTAAATATCCTCTTTTGATGGAGCCTCTGTGATGTAGTTGGCAGGACACCTTACATCACAGAGGCGCATCCTGCAAAACAGATAGGGGTTTTTGAGGAGACCAGTCACCCACTGCACTGATAGCTTGCTAGGGATGACTGGTCTCTTCAACAGGAACATTTAACAGAAGCAATTCCTGATATCTCAGAGGAGAAAGTAGTGCTTTAGGACTCCTTTGTGAAATACATACCATATCCTAATACATTACTCTGCTTTGCAGTAAAGCTTAGCTCAATGATTTCTGAGTCCCACTCACCATCACTTGGTCAAAATATGCAGCCAGGTCAACAGACCCTTCAAAACCCTACTTTAAAGGTATGTAAAACCACATGGTACATTGAATATAGATAGGATCAACTAGCCAAATGAAAAATGACAACACTGCAAAATGTAAAACTTTCATGCTGGTTTGTTTTACTTAGTTTGACACAAATGTCAGCTGACATTTCCTATGGAACATACTTTTGATAATATGTGCTGGTATGTGTAAAGTTGGTAACGTGTACACAGATGCTGTTCACTGGCATTTGATGTGCAATTCTGAGGCTGTTTTTGACCTGCTTTACATTGCTTTTCTTTGGATGCAGCATGTTCTGTCTGTGATGCATTTGCACTGCAGGTAAAGTAATCCAAATGTAGTGCTCACCCCCAAAAGGGCCTGTTGAGGACTCCCAAGGTTCTTTTCCCAAAAAAGTGAATCAGTAGTCAGGCACATGGTTACAGTCGCTCTTTTGGCTCATTGAATAGTCTAGGGGTATTCTCTTTTGCAGCTTTATTAGAAGTTGAACTTGGACAGGTTGCAGGGAAACTATGGGACAATCCAGTAACATAAGGACACTTCTCACTTTTTCAAAGCTTCTTAGAACAGTCCCTGCAACAGCAACCAAGGGACTGAGCTACACTAGGACCCCATAGAAAATGTCCACATTTGAGCAAGAACTGGCACTGATGCACAAGGGAAAGTGGTAGCACACAGTAACAGGTCTGTACTCACAAATGTCCCTGAATACCTGGATCTCTTCTTCCAATATCAGCCAGACATTTCTTCTGCGAACTCTCCAGACCAGATCCCCAGTGAAATTCCTCAATCAGTCCAGCAAGGTCCAGTAGAGTAGCCCCCCACATCCCCCCCAGCTCTAACACAGCTGGCACCTTGATGAGCAATAGAACAGCACCCCCCCCCCCCTCAGCTTTAGCATAACTGGGACCTCAATCAGCAAATGAAGAAGCACAGCTAGACTACACAGAATGGCAGCAGCCCCTCAGGCTGGCAAAGTCTCCTTCTGGACAAAAACCTTCTGTCCCAGGCCTCAAACTGTGTATGTATCCCCCAGTCACCTACTGGGCACCATCCCTCAGGGATTGGCTGGGACCACATAAATATTCAGGCTGTGGATTTGACTCTCCCAGCCCACTGCATTCCAGAATCCTCCAAAAGGCAGGGGCAAGCAGTCAAACCCACAGCCAGTGAAACCCAGAAGAGCCCAAAATATTCACAAGCTCCTCCACTGATTAAGGGGAGCCAAAAGAACTAAATGGAACTAACCTAACTAGCAGCCTATCTAGGAGGGTGCTACACAAATGCAGCCTTTTGCTGCATCTTCTGCTTTAACTCATGTATTTGAAGAGAACTGCATTCAAATTCCAAAGGAAGCTAATACAATTTGTATGTATGAATGTTCCAAAAGCATTGCTATTTGTCTGAAATATAGAGATATACTGCATATACACTATATTGCCAAAAGTATTGGGATGCCTGCCTTCACACGAAAATGAACTTTAATGGCATCCCAGTCTTAATCCATAGAGTTCAATATTGAGTTGGCCCCGCCCTTTGCAGCTACAACAGCTTCAACTCTTCTGGGAAGGCTGTCCACAAGGTTTAGGAGGGTGTCTATGGGAATGTTTGACCATTCTTCCAGAAGTGCATTTGTGAGGTCAGACACTGATGTCAGACGAGAAGGCCTGGCTTGCAGTCTCTGCTCTAATTCATCCCAAAGGAGTTTTATTGGGTTGAGATCAGGACTCTCTCTAGGCCAGTCAAGTTCCTCCACCCCAAACTCGCTCATCCATGTCTTTATGGACCTTGCTTTGTGCACTGGTGCACAGTCATGTTGGAACAGGAAGGGGCCATCCCCAAACTGTTCCCACAAAGTTGGGAGCATGAAATTGTTCAAAATGTTTTGGTATGCTAATGCCTTAGGAGTTCCCTTTGCTGGAATTAAGGGGCCAAGTCCAACCCGTGAAAAACAACCTCACACCATAATCCCCCCTCCACCAAACTTTACACTTGGCACAATGCAGTCAGGCAAGTACCGTTCTCCTGGCAACTGCCAAACCCAGACATGTCCATCGGAGTGCCAGACAGAGAAGCGTGATTTGTCACTCCAGAGAACATGTCTCCACTGCTCAAGAGTCCAGTGGCAGCGTGCTTTACACCACTGCATCCAATGCTTTCCATTGCACTTGGTAATGTAAGGCTTAGATGCAGCTGCTTGGCCACGGAAACCCATTCCATGATGCTCTCTACGCACTGTTCTCAAGCTAATCTGAAGGCCAAAAGAAGTTTGGAGGGCTTTAGCTATTGACTCTGCAGACAGTTGGAGACTTCTGCGGACTGTGCGCTTCAGCATGCGCTGACTCTGCTCTGTCATTTAAAGTGGTCTACCACTTTGTGGCTGAGTTGCTGCTGTTCCCAGTTGCTTCCACTTTGTTATAATACCACTAACAGTTGCCCGTGGATTATTTAGTAGCAAGGACATTTCACAGATGGACTTATTGCACAGGTGGCAACCTAAAACGTTACCATGCTTGATTTCGCTGAGCTCCTGAGAGTGACCCATTCTTTCACAAATGTTTGTAGAAGCAGTTAGCATGCCTAGGTTCTTGATTTTATACACCTGTGGCCATGGAAGTAATTGGTACGCCTGAATCCAAAGGCGTCAGCATACCAAGACATTTTGGACAATTTCATGCTCCCAACTTTCTGGGAAGAGTTTCCTTCCTGTTTCCACATGACTGCGCACCAGTGCACAAAGCAAGGTCCATAAAGACATGGATGAGCGAGGTTGGGGTGGAGGAACTTGACTGGCCTGCACAAAGTCCTGACTTCAACCCGATAGAACACCTTTGGGATGAGTTGGAACAGAGACTGTGAGCCAGACCTTCTTGTTTGACATCAGTGCCTGATCTCACAAATGCAATTCTGGAAGAATGGTCAAACATTCCCATAGATACTCCTAAACCTTGTGGACAGCCTTCCCAGAAGAGTTGAAGCTGTTATAGCTGCAATGGGTGGGCCAACTCAACAATGAACCCTACTGACTTAGACTGGGATGTCATTAATGTTCATGTGTGTGTAAAGGCAGGCGGACCAATACTTTTGGCAATATAGTGTGTGTATATATATATATATATATATATATAGAATAGAGTTTCAGTACCTTTTTATTCACATTTTTTGTCAAGTTTCCCAATAAAACTCTTTTTGATAAAGAACAAGTGGTAGAGCAAAGCTGTCTTTTTTTTTGCTGGACAATAGCTTTCAGGTTGCCACTCTGAAAAAAAATAATGGTTTCTACTAAAGCAGAACTGAACCGAGAATAAAATTGCAAAAGAAGATATGACTTGTTAGAATGTGTCTCTTCTCCCACAAAACTACTTTCCCTTTGTTCCAGCAATTTTTACTTTTGTGAAAGTTGCTTACGGGCCATGCTTGATTCAAGGCCTTTGTATAGTTGGCCATAGACGGCTCACATTTTTGACTGATTTTGCTCAGTCTGCCAAAATTCCAGCTGTGGGTGGCCCAGCAAACACCACACAAAAATTGATTTAAGAGTCAACTGAGCCGGATGGAAAATTATTGGCTGTAGGTGCTGATGCTGTTTGAATACAATAGTTGATGTTATTATTACTAATATACTGTATGGCTTGCCTTAGCAACATGCTAGATGCGCCCTGGGAGTATTCCAGTCAGGCTTCATGAGGTACATAAATGGCCTACACCTATAGCAAGGACATTATTCAGCTTTAGGCAGGCCATAGATGGGCCGTATAGTTAAATGGAAATGCATCAAAAAACACAGTGCTTGCGTTTTTGATGCGGTTTGTGTCCAAACAGCCGCTGCATCCCAATCGACTTGAATGGGACTGCCTGCATGGAACACCTGTGCATCCCTGGGGGGGGGGGGGGGGGGGGGGCAGGCACGGCCTTTGCACGGGTGCACACTTTAGTACGACTCTGTGAATGAGGCCTAACACACTTTCTGAACTTTAAACACTTTTGTAGTAGAAGGTCTCCCCTGTCAGTGGTGAGGTGATTTATTTGGGGGTCCCTTGTGTCATGTCAATTTATTTATTTGGGGGTCCCTTGTGTCATGTCAATTGTGAGGCCATTTATTTGGGGGTCCTGTCAATTGTGAGGTGATTTATTAAGGGGGTCCCGTGTCATGTCACTTGTGAGGTGATTTATTTGGGGGTCCCATGTCATGTCAGTTGTGAGGTGATTTATTTGGGGGTCCCATGTCATGTCAGTTGTGAGGTAGTTTTATGGGGTCCCCTGTGTCATGTCAGTGGTGAGGTGATTTATTTGGGGGTCCTGTGTCATATCAATTGTGAGGTGATTTATTTGGGGGTCCCATGTCATGTCAGTGGTGAGGTGATTTATTTGGGGTCCCGTGTCATGTCAGTTGTGAGGTGGTTTATTTGGGGGTCCCGTGTCATGTCAGTTGTGAGGTGATTTATTTGGGGGTCCCGTGTCATGTCAGTTGTGAGGTGATTTATTTGGGGGTCCTGTGTCATGTCAGTTGTGAGGTGGTTTATTTGGGGGTCCCCTGTGTCATGTCAGTTGTGAGGTGGTTTATTTGGGGGTCCCCTGTGTCATGTCAGTTGTGGTGGTCTATTTGGGGGTCCTGAGTCATGTCAGTTGTGAGGTGGTTTATTTGGGGGTCCCGTGTCATGTCAGTTGTGGTGGTTTATTTGGGGGTCCCGTGTCATGTCAGTTGTGAGGTGGTTTATTTGGGGGTCCCGTGTCATGTCAGTTGTGGTGGTTTATTTGGGGGTCCCGTGTCATGTCAGTTGTGAGGTGGTTTATTTGGGGGTCTTGTGTCATGTCAGTGTGTGGTGGTCTATTTGGGGGTCCCGTGTCATGTCAGTTGTGAGATGATTTATTTGGGGTCCCCTGTGTCATGTCAGTTGTGAGGTGATTTATTTGGGGATCCCATGTCTTGTCAGTTGAGAGGTGGTTTATTTGGGGTCCCCTGTGTCATGTCAGTGGTGAGGTGATTTATTTGGGGGTCCTGTGTCATATCAATTGTGAGGTGATTTATTTGGGGGTCCCATGTTATGTCAGTGGTGAGGTGATTTATTTGGGGTCCCCTGTGTCATGTCAGTTGTGAGGTGATTTATTTGGGGGTCCCGTGTCATGTAATTTGTGAGGTGGTTTATTTGGGGGTCCCCTGTGTCATGTCAGTTGTCAGGTGGTTTATTTGGGGGTCCCGTGTCATGTCAGTTGTGAGGTGGTTTATTTGGGGGTCCCGTGTCATGTCAGTTGTGAGGTGATTTATTTGGGGGTCCCGTGTCATGTCAGTTGTGAGGTGGTTTATTTGGGGATCCCGTGTCATGTCAGTTGTGAGGTGGTTTATTTGGGGGTCCCGTGTCATGTCAGTTGTGAGGTGATTTATTTGGGGGTCCCGTGTCATGTCAGTTGTGAGGTGGTTTATTTGGGGGTCCCGTGTCATGTCAGTTGTGAGGTGGTTTATTTGGGGGTCCCGTGTCATGTCAGTTGTGGTGGTTTATTTGGGGGTCCCGTGTCATGTCAGTTGTGAGGTGGTTTATTTGGGGGTCCCGTGTCATGTCAGTTGTGGTGGTTTATTTGGGGGTCCCCTGTCATGTCAGTTGTGAGGTGGTTTATTTGGGGGTCTTGTGTCATGTCAGTTGTGGTGATCTATTTGGGGGTCCCGTGTCATGTCAGTTGTGAGATGATTTATTTGGGGTCCCCTGTGTCATGTCAGTTGTGAGGTGATTTATTTGGGGATCCCATGTCTTGTCAGTTGTGAGGTGGTTTATTTGGGGTCCCCTGTGTCATGTCAGTGGTGAGGTGTGATTTATTTGGGGGTCCTGTGTCATATCAATTGTGAGGTGATTTATTTGGGGGTCCCATGTTATGTCAGTGGTGAGGTGATTTATTTGGGGTCCCCTGTGTCATGTCAGTTGTGAGGTGATTTATTTGGGGGTCCCGTGTCATGTAATTTGTGAGGTGGTTTATTTGGGGGTCCCCTGTGTCATGTCAGTTGTCAGGTGGTTTATTTGGGGGTCCCGTGTCATGTCAGTTGTGAGGTGGTTTATTTGGGGGTCCCGTGTCATGTCAGTTGTGAGGTGATTTATTTGGGGGTCCCGTGTCATGTCAGTTGTGAGGTGGTTTATTTGGGGGTCCCGTGTCATGTCAGTTGTGAGGTGATTTATTTGGGGGTCCCGTGTCATGTCAGTTGTGAGGTGGTTTATTTGGGGGTCCCATGTCATGTCAGTTGTGAGGTGATTTATTTGGGGGTCCCGTGTCATGTCAGTTGTGAGGTGGTTTATTTGGGGGTCCCATGTCATGTCAGTTGTGAGGTGGTTTATTTGGGGGTCCCGTGTCATGTCAGTTGTGAGGTGGTCTATTTGGCAGTCCCCTGTATCATGTCAGTTGTGGTGGTCTATTTGGGGGTCCTGTGTCATGTTAGGTGTGAGGTGGTTTATTTGGGGGTCCTGTGTCATGTTAGGTGTGAGGTGGTTTATTTGGGGGTCCTGTGTCATGTTAGGTGTGAGGTGACTTGGGGGTCTCGTGTCTTGTCAGTTGTGGTGGTCTATTTGGGGGTCCTGTGTCATGTTAGGTGTGAGGTGGTTTATTTGGGGGTCCCGTGTCCTGTTAGGTGTGAGGTGATTTGGGGGTCCTGTGTCATGTCAGTTGTGAGGTGATTTCTATAAATGTGTCCCGTGTTCTAACATTTGTGAGGGGATTTATTGACGTGTAGTATGCTGTGTGAGGAGCTCAGGCATGTACTCAGATGCACATTGGGGGTTACCAGGAGCAGCTCATGAACAACTCTGCTCCATCATTTTCCCCTCAGCCTGTGACAGATCCTCTACCTCAACATGGCGGCCTTCAGCAAGTCCATCCCGCACAGCTGCTATGAGATCGGCCACACCTGGAACCCGTCCTGCCTCACCTCCTACCTGCAGATCACACAGGGCGCCATGGAGGAGTCGTTCAAGATCTATGCGCCCCTGTATCTGGTGAGAGGGGGGGAGGGGAGGAGAGAGTATGGAAGCCGGGAGGGGACACTCTTCTGTCAGGACAGATGTTTACACAGCTCTGTCAGTTTGCCCCTCTGCTGGGAGTTGTAGTCCCACCTCTGATAGAAGGAGGCTGGGGTGACCTCCATGCTGGGACTCAATCATCCACACCGGGGCAAATGTGGTGTCACTGCGTCCTATGGTGACCCCTAAATTTGTTGCTTCAGGATGGCGGGCATGGGGGGTCCATCTGTGTGTCACCAGTTGGGGAGAGATGGAGGAGACACGTGCGTCAGGGCCCTCCAACACTGTGTTGTCATAGGCGGTCTCCTCGTCATTGTCTGTTGTGTTGAGGCAGTCCGTCCATTGTGACTACGCCACAGCAACGGCCAAAGACGGGACCCAGGGAGCGGACCGCAACAAGACGCACAGAGAACGCACTACTACTGTAAGCTGTGCTGTGTGTACTGAGCGAGCCGTTCATTCATTCCACCGTTCAATTATTCCACCGTTCAATTATTCCACCGTTCAATTATTCCACCATTCATTCCATTATCCATTCCATCGGCCATTGATTCATTCCACTGTTCATTCATTCCACTGT